TTTGGTAAAAAATTGGCCTATAGGCCAATTTTGGCTTATTTGTCCACTATTAATGGTTTGATTTAGTTAAAATATCAATATAAATGTTTGGTTAATTAGTTTTTTGCAACTCCAAAAGGCTAAAATCAAAAAGCTAGTCCAAACAACTTTTTTAATTAGCTTTTTGAGAAAAGAAATTATACCAAACAGATATCAGCTAACAGCTAATTTACCAAACACTTTTTTTACAATCAGCTAAGGCAATTATAGTGTGTACTTTAGGATTCACCTTGTAAGGTGGCTATGTCACAAGTTCTTTTTTAGTATATATTGTAAGTTCATAATATTTTAATAGAGTTAATACCCAAAATCGTCCTCGACTATAGTGGTTTTTCTCAATTTCGTCCTAAACGACTTTGGTGACCTAATATCGTCCCAGACTTTTGTGTTTCGCTCAATTTAGTCCTCCATTTGTTATTCCGTCAAATTGGTGTTAAATTAAGGGACAATTCAGTAATGTCAATATTGATCTCTCTTTACTTTCAACTTGTGAAGTGCGAAATTCCTCTTTCTTGTACAAATTACACCCAGAATTACTCCCGGACCTGCAAATCAAATTTTATATTCGCAATTTTAGGAGTAATTCTGGGAGTAATTCGTAAAAAAAAAAAAAAAGGATTTCGCAGTTCACATGTCTATGAGTAAAGAGATGCCAATATTAAAATTATTGAATTGTCTATTTATTTAACACCAAATGGACATAATAACAAATGAGGGACTAAATTGAGCAAAAACACAAAAGTCTGGGACTAAATTGAGCGAAACACAAAAGTCTGGGACGATATTAGGTCACCAAAGTCGTTTAGGACGAAATTGAGAAAAACCACTATAGTCGAGGACGATTTTGGGTATTAACTCTATTTTAATACGAGTTTATTTTTAGCGTACTGCATGCTAATTTTTAGTATGTTGTTAGTTAAAATGAACTTGCAATATATTCAAAATAAATATGTGTTAGAAGTTCTGTTACATAAAGTCTTGTCCACGATAGAAGCATTGTATTATGAAATATTGTACCAAGTGTATGGACTAATTCAAGAGGCATAATAGGTTTGAAGATGATGGCTAGACTAGATCAAAGTAAAGTCAGTCCCATGAAGATGGGTTGGGGGTTGAGTATATTAGCCAATTCTTATACCATAGAACTAGGGTTCACTGCACCATTGTGGATCCTGAATTGTACAAAAAATTACCGTATATGTTTAGAGTTAATATATTATGATCATATTTGGTAAAATAATTCGTCTATCAATTATTTTTGGTTTATTTGACCACTATTAGCTGTTTGACTTGGTTAAACATTCAATATGAATATTTGATTAATTAGTTTTTCGTAATAACTTATTGTTCAAAATGCTAAAATTCAAAAAGCTGCCCAAAGTAGATTTTTCGATTAGCTTTTTGAGAAAGTCATGTGTGTAATCAGCTAGCAACTAGCAGCTAATTTACCAAATACTTTTCTACTATACAATCAGTTAATGCTATCAACTAGTCAAACCCATTAATCTAATCAACTAACATCCATTTACTAAACACCACCTATGTGTTTGCAGTTAACATATTATGGCCCTGTTTGATAAATGGCTGTTAGCTGTTAGCTGTTAGCTGATTGTGTTAATTAGAAGGTATAACTAGTTGATAACATTAGCTGTTCTAGAAAAGTGTTTGGTAAATTAGTTGTTAGCCGATAGGTGTTTGGTATAATTTCTTTTTTGAAAAAGCTAATTGAAAAAGTTGCTTGGAGTAGCTTTTTGAATTTTAGTATTTTGGAGTTGCAAAAAGCTAAGCCAATTAACCAAACACTTATATTGATATTTTAACTAAATCAAATAATTAATAGTGGTCAAATAAGTCTGACGGTCTATAGGCCAATTTTTTACCAAACAGGATCATATGTGTCTAGAAATAAATTGAAAGAACATAATATGTTAATTACAGACACATAATGTACAGTTCGTATATTATGTACTTGCAATTAACATATTATATGCATATAATTAACATATTATATATGTACCTTCAATTTTATTTATAGACACATAATTTGTTAATTGTATACACATAATATGAATATCATTTTAGACCATAATAATCTATAATACGAGGTGAAACCTGATTTTTGCCGCTTAGTGTATGGAAATTTTGCAAGGCTCCCAGGGAATACAATATCTAATTATTCTTATAGCAATCAATTGAGTTTCTAGCTAGCATTCTAAGGGTGTGTTTGGTTGACATGTTTAGCTTTGAGGAATGAGTATGAAAAATTGAAAGTGATTGGTATTGTTTGATTGATAGGTTTTTAGAACACTATTATAGATTTCAAATACTCCATTGATAAATTCATACCCAAATAAAATAAGTGTATCATCCCTTTTCATTCCTTTATTCCTTCTTATCCCCTTTGATTAGTGCTTTTAAATTTTTTTTTTTTGTTTTTTTTTTTTTTTGTTTTTTGTTCATATTTGTGTTTTGAATGTCTTTATATTAGAATCATTTGTCTTGATTTTGTGTTTTTGTATTTTTTAAATCTGTATTCCTATTATAGGATCATACATAACCAACAACATTATTGATAATCATTCTCATTCCACCATATTACCAAACATGCAAAATACTTTCACAAAAATCCATTACCATTACCAAATATTTAATATATATTCCGATTCTGATTCCCATTTGCGAACATGACCGGTTATTAGATTTTGGTGGCCCCATTCTGGTAAATAAATTAGGCCCTACCAAAATCACAATCTTAAAAAATAAATAAATAAATAATAATAGTAATAATAATAATAATAATAATAATAATAATAATAATAATAATAATAATAATAATAATAATAAGGTGGTAAAATGTTGTTGTGCGCAAAGAAAAAAAAAACATATTATAAAATAAATTACAATAACAACAACAACAACAACAATAATAATAATAATAATAATAATAATAATAATAATAATAATAATAATAATAATAATAGTGCGGAACAACAAAGTTGGAGTAGCACTCAAGTTTCAAACATTTAACCTTCAAGTTGAAATACAATAAGCACATATTCCTACCATTCCTCTATGGAGCTTTATAAGTTCAATTGAAATCTTTTAGTTTTTATTTCTAAACTAGCTAGGTAAAAATTAAATATTGGACCGTCTAAAATTTGGGGCCCTCTAAAATTTGAGGGTCCTGTGCAGTAGCTCAGCTTGCACAGCCTAAAATTTAACTCTGTTTGCGAATCAAACACAACCTAAGTATTTTTTGCTATTTAATCATCTCATTCCAAGTTTATTGTTCATCCATTATTAATATAGGAAATGATCCGTTGTTAAATTGGAAAGTTAAACTATAACACCATCATCACCATCATCACCATCACCACCATCATCACCATCACCATCATCACCACCATCACCACCATCACCATCATCACCACCATCACCACCATCACCATCACCACCACCACCATCACCACCATCACCATCATATTGTTAATCATTATTAAAAAAAATTAAAATCCTAATATTGTTAATCATTATATTATTGTTAATCATTCCAATTTCATCATCAAAAGGAGTATCATTATATTGATACTAATATAATGATACTCCTTTTTTAATTAGAGAATGAGATTACTAATTGAAGAGGCCGGTAATCAAATCCCATAGTTGTGTTTTAAAAAGTTGTCAACCAAACACTAACTATGATTTTGATTCTCATTCCTAATGTGTAAACCCAGCATGAACCACACACACCCATAAATTATATCGTATATCAAGGTCTACCATGCACATTGAGAACCCTAATTTAGATTACATAATTGCCGTTAACGTACTATGCGGGGGCAATTATAGTCAAGTTGGTTGGACTGTTGGCTTGGTAACCACAAAGTTCTAAGTTTGACTCTTTATGAGAATTGTCTATTGGCGTTCTTGGTTTGAGCCAATTAAGTGATTAACTACAGGCGACCTAGGATGGTTTAACTTAGCTTCTTGTGGCTATTTATGCTAGCTAAGGTCACAAGGCAGACTTCACTCGGCCAATAGTTCACCTTTGAGTAGTGATTGCAAACTTTCTCATAAATTAAAGTTAACATATTATGTAACTTTAGTTAACAGATAATATATATATATATATATATATATATATATATATATATATATACACGAAAGGTACATAATATGTTATTACAATAAATATATAATATGTTAACTGCATGTAATGTATCTAGGTAGGGTCTATAATGCTTATGGTAGAACCTAACCTATGAGGTAAGGATTGCGCAATACATCAGTACATCACTAGGCATAACACGTATCGAATATTTTCTGAATCCTTGTGGAATAATACAAAATAAATTTTTCAACGAAGATGTGAATCAGAAAAAAGGAAAAAAAAAATTGATGGACGAAACTACGGGATTGTTTCAGTCAAAAATTGATTATTAATTGTCGTTAGACAACTTACATTTTAATGCATTTAAATTCTTAATTTTGTATTACGACTCATAGTTGGTTAAATTAAATTTTAATCCACTCTTTCAATACAACAATAATAACATTCTAGGAGGGACTCTTTCGTAGATTCTTAGTGTAATTATTTCAATTCTTAATAATTTTACTAATCAAAATAAGTTATAGGTTATTATTGAATATTGACTGCGAATTTTCTTTTGAGAAAATTGTAATTTATGTTCCTTACAAATATGTCAATTAACAATATCACCCCTGAATTATTATTGGTTAAAATTTGTCCCTCAATTTTCAAAACGTGACATATATCGTTCCTCCCTTAATATGAAGAAAGAGAAACATTGTTGTCGGCAGAAGGAGAACAAACGAAGAAAGAAAAATGGAGGAAAAAAACATGGTCTTCGATCAGATAAGACAGCGGATAACCACATTTACATCACTAATAATTTAGGGAAAGGACAATATACGTCACATTTTAAAAATTAAGGGACAAAATTTATACCACTAATAATACAAAAATGACATTGATAATATAATTGACATATTTGTGAGGTACATAAATTACAATTTTCCTTCTTTCTTTTCTATTTTAAGCCATAGGGGCAATAATCCATGGACATTTTGTTTAAATATTGGCACAACTTGATTGTAATTTATACTTTTATGCACATTCACTAACAATGTGACGACATTCATCCACAACGTGGCAAATATTCATCGTAGAGATATTATGTATTCTAGAACTTTCTCTCTAGTGGATCACACTAATTTCCTCCATTCTCAAACAATACAATAATGTCTATTGAAATAATTCATAAACAATAATATATTTTGTGTGTTAACTATAATAAATATTAAGACAGTACCCTTAAAATATATATATATATATATATATATATATATATATATATATATGTATATATATATATATACATATATATATATATATATATATATATATATATATATATTAAGACAGTAGACAAATAGTTTTACAATATTATTTTAGAGAAACATTAATGCACATAACTAAAATTTCGTAAAAAAATGTTGCTAAATTGTGTCGTGAAAATTGAAATTCAAATAGTAAGTTGTTGTAAAAGTTATTTTTTTTTAGTTAATGACCATTAAAAAGGTATAATTAAAAATTATAAATATCAAATATAATTATATATAACTATTTTCAGTGATTAATGGCAACGAATTATACCTTTAAATCAGTCAAAATAATAAAGTGATCACAAATGTTGTATAACCTACATACATTTCATTTTTAACTTTTGTTTTTGTTGGGATAATGGGATTTGGACCCATGACCTTTTAAGATCATGGGTTGTCCCCCTCTTGCCCCTAGATTAGAAGTTATCTAACGTTTTCAATTAAAAGAGTTTATTCATAAAATTAAATTATAATATAGCTTCAAAATTGCAGTTTATACATTCTAAAGACATTTTCATATATTAAGAATTAAACTGAGCATATATATACAAAAGCATGAAATTATGGAAAAGTATGCAATTTTCTTTAATTTAAATAATTAAATTATAGAATATGTAAATAAAACAACGTCAATGAGAGTGTATTAGATTATTAGATCAACTTTGCGAAATTATTACTTGTGTTATTTGTAATGAAGAAAATGAATTGCTTAGGGGCTTTGTTTGTATGTTGGGCGTTACTTAGAGTTACATGGTTAAGTTGTGGGTAATATTTCACGGATTGTGTTTTTGTTAGGAGAAAGAATATAGAAGAGTGCTTTTAGATAAAAGATTATATTCTCTCTTGTCCATTTACAAAATACGAGATGTGAGTGATTGTAGAAATGTGAGCCAACCACTAACGTACTATTGCTATTCATAACTTGTTAATATAATATAATAGTCAATAGTTTATTATTTTGTTTGGTTAATTATATTTGTTTCAGGTACAGAATTTTTATATTCATAAGGTACGAAATTTCATAATACAAGATATAAAAAGTCATAACAAAAAATACAAATACATGAATCAAGGTCTATAATGTAGTGTGAATCCTGATCCATAATATAACGATTGGTGAATAATGTTGCTCAAACACATAAAATATCCTAGAAGTAAAACAAATACAATTTATAAAATAAAACAGCAGGTAGACATAAATTTAGCGCTGTCGCTCCAATCCACTTCCATATATATAGAAGCTAGTTCCTAGAACATATCGTAAAAGCTTAACTAGGTCCCGTACGTGTATATTCTTTGTCCCTGTAGTCTCTTTGGTTAGTGGTTTACTCCATAGGAAACTAAGTTGATGGGTAATATAGGCATATAGCCCACCTAGCTATTCTATGTATGATGGGACATTGTAAAGATTATGGTTTCAAATCTTTACTTTTTTTTTTTTTTTTTTTAATTTTATTTTATTTTATCTACCTAACAAATAAGAGAGGCGGAAGGGAAGATTATAGATTTATAATAACAGCTTTAAATTCATAATTCATAATCCGATTCACTAATAAATCCTTACTGTTTAAATTTATAATTATAAAATTTAAATTCTTGCCCGCATACAAAAGAAAAAATCCTCAACCTCCCAGTTAATCAGTTCATTTAATCGAATCAAATTAATCGAAATTTTTAAACCTTTAACGGTTAACCGACCAAAATTTCTATTACTAAATTAACCGAATTGAAATTTTTTGGTTAGTAAGTCAGTTAACCGATTAAATGAAAATTTAATTAAATTTTGAAATCCTTAATTTTTTTTTTTAAAAAAAAGATTATCATTGCACATTATTACACATCAATACCTATAATAATAAATTTATAAGCAGTTTGGGCAAAATAAATCTATAAGCACTACAATTATAAAAGCACAAGTTGTCTACATGGGCAGCTCAGTTGGTCATATGGGTGAAGTTTGAGAAGAATGACTAGGGATCAAGTCTCACTGGCGGCTTTGTGGGAGCAACTTCTCAAAGTGAGGGGCCTCCTTGTGTGTAGTATGCAAAGGTTTAGCCCTCTGTGGTTCAGTTCATGGTTTTTCAAATCGAATTAACCTTTAACTACAATTATGTAAATTCCTTAACCACTAACTGAACTGAACTTTATCAGTTAAAAATTGATCTGATTAACCAAATTTCTTCGGTTCGGTCGATTAACCGATTTTTAACCGAAGTTTGCACACCCCTCAGTGGAAGGGTCATTAGGTGGAAGGACCGTATCAATGTTTGATGCCCACAAGGAGTCCAACACATGTCCTTACCCCAATCTACTGCTTAGAAACTGATTGAGTTGTCTATGCAAACTTAAATTTTAAATTCTTTTAGAGCATTACATGTATGGTGTGAGTTAAATGCACTGTTAGCATTTTTACAACATAATTATAAAAGATATGAGGTTAAGTCGGGATTCCTTGTGTGCAGTGAGCAAAAATCTAGTCTCTGTTGACTAATTGAGTTATCATAATTTACCTTTTCATAATCTTATCAGGCCGGGATACAAAAGCACATGTAATAGACATATATTAATTAGTTGAGTCACCGTGATTTATTCGGTCATCAACTTACTTTGTACTCTTGTCACAAGAAGTATATATGAGGTTACACTAAATAGAGAATGACAAGTCAGAGCAATGAATTGAATAGTGTTTCAAAACTCGAGGGTTATTAGTGGCAAATGTGCATGCACAATTAAAGAAAGGAAAATTGTAGATTTAGTGATTGAGTTATAATATAAGTGTAATTTTTGTTCGTAATTAATATGACATTGTAATAGCACCTCATAATTAATTACTAAGGTGGCATATTTAGTTATCCTTTTGATAGACGTCATTATTTTGAACAGAAAATTCACATGTATTTTTTGCTTGAGTTAATTCAATTGTGATCAATGGCAATTTAGTAACTTATGAATATTGCATGTAATTCTTTCAATTATTAGTAATTCTAATTCTCACATTACAAATACCTTAAACCTTAACAAATGCTCTCTTCTCTATCCAAATCGCGACTAAATCATCCACAAAAGATTATATTATTTCTAATCTGTAGTAGGAACTTGAGGTATTATTTAAGTTTTCATCTATGTAAATTAGATTAGAAATACAATTTTACCCTTTGTATGTTGGTGCTGTTTCGGTTTCTGTATAAAGTAACTATATCCATCATAGAAAGGATTAATTAAATATCTCACTAATTAAATGTATTATTAAAACTTCATATTAATTAGGGAGGAAAATAACATATACTTTAAAACTTGAGGATTAAAATTACAATTTTTGCTAAAGTATATAAAGGAAGGAGATGAGTAGATGATGGAGACTCGTTGAAGAAACCATTGACAACATTAATTAAAAGCACACTTCAATTACTCTTAGTGGGTGTATTCAATCATGACTTTTGTGGAGTTTTAAAGACTTTTAAAATGATAAATTTTAATAAACTTTGATTGACTTTCATAGAGTCGTTCAAAATTTTTTAAAACTTTATAAGACTCTATAAAAGTCTATATAAAAAACATTCATAGACTTTTATCAACTTTTTATTTTAAAAAGTATACAAAAGTCATTGAAATTCTAAATAGAATACATCATTACAAACTTTCAATGATTTCTACTTTCCTATTCGTACTATAAAATATATTGATTTCTACTTTCCTATTCGTACTATAATTCTGGGTTAAATTCTATTCTAATATCATAAAATAATGTAATACAATTCCTATTGTAATCTATCTATCTATCTATACATCTATACTACATATCTATACTATATATAAAAACAAAATCCTGCAATTTTAACTTCCCGCCCAATTCCTAATAAATCTCTCTTCCTAATAAAATATATTGATTTCTACTTTCCCATTCGTACAATAATTCTGCGTTAAAATTGTATTCTAATATTATAAAATAGTGTAATACATTCTATACTATATATAAAAACAAAATCCTGAAATTTTAACTTCCCGCCCAATTCCTAATAAATCTCTCTTCCTAATAAAATATATTGATTTCTACTTTCCCATTCGTACAATAATTCTGCGTTAAAATTCTATTCTCATATTATAAAATAGTGTAATACAATCTATACTATATATAAAAACAAAATCCTGAAATTTTAACTTTCCGCCCAATTCCTAATAAATCTCTCTTCGTAATAAAATATATTGATTTCTACTTTCCTATTCGTACAATAATTTTGCGTTAAAATTCTATTCTAATAGTATAAAATAGTGTAATACAATCTATATCTATACTATGTATAAAAACAAAATCCTGAAATTTTAACCTCCCGCCCAGTTCCTAATAAATCTCTCATCCTAATAAAATCTACTGATTTCTACTTTCCCATTCGTTCAATAATTCTGCGTTAAAATTCTATTCTAATATTATAAAATAGTGTAATACAATCTATATCTATACTACATATAAAAACAAAATCCTGAAATTTTAACTTCCCGCCCAATTCCTAATAAATCTCTCTTCCTAATAAAATATATTGATTTCTACTTTCCCATTCGTACAATAATTCTGCGTTAAAATTCTATTCTAATATTATAAAATAGTGTAATACAATCTATATCTATACTATGTATA